ATTTTATGGAGACTTTGCCACGGTCTCCAATCATCCTCCTTTCTCGACCGGGCTCGGAACCGGCAATGACGGATTTGCGCAGTGAATTTCGGTTGCTAAATAAACCCGCAAGATGGAGATGAACAGAATCATATAGTGTTCTAAATCCCTATTTGGCAAAAGCCTTTGGCGCTGTATTAGTTGACGGCATTGGTGGAGGTCCAGTGGAGCGCTGAAGCATATGTTCAACGGAGGCAACATGCGCTGAACAGAGCTTCGTCTGTTAAAATCACCGGTAACCATGCGAAGACCATCACTGAACAGATCGCACCGAAATACGAGGCCAGCAGCAAATCAACACAGGCACAGAGCAACCTCTCGTAAAACTGCAATTAGGCAAGTAAATCCATTATAGATTATGGCAAAAATTTCGAAAGGGAAAGGCATTTTACTACATGATATTGAATACTGTTTTGAGCAGAGGCATATTTTGCTATAAAGCCTATCAGTTCTAAATAGAATTGTACTCTAACATGGTCGACCTCACCATCCTCTTCGCAATGAAGTCAGGAAACTCGGGGCAAAAAAACACGCACATTTGGGAAGGAACATCCAGTCCAAAGCACATGTATAGCGTCAATTTTGTTCGAGACAGATTTTCAGTTATAAGATACTAGAAAGGAAAAAGAATTATTTCATATGTACTTGATATCCAACACTGGATTCAATTGTTTTAGACCAGTTTTATTTGGATATGCCGGTCAAAATCAGTAAATTTTATAAGCCGTAGTTCTTGGAAATTTCGCCTTTTATGTTCTATTTTCAGCTGTTTCACAATATAGACGAGTGAATACTGACGGCAGGTAAGCTGATTGTGATACAGTATCTATTGAAAGCGATCAGTAAATGTTCCAGCTAGATTTAGTCACAGGAAAAATTATCCTCTCGCAGAGACAACAAAGACAATAGGCAAGGAAACATCGAGCCATTAAAAAGAATACTCAGTTCATTACCCAAAAACAGCGGCGGACAATTAAGAATAAGTTTCAGTAATCGACACATGAATCTACGGTCACTTCAAGACCATGAAACAAGAAATATCACGTACTAATAAAATGCAGGAACATTCTTCTTCAGACCTTTGGTAGATTTCGCAAAGAGTATAAATGAAAACTAGGGGAGCGTGTAGAAAAGTTTATCAATCAAGCACAGTAGTTGTAGATTAAGATCAGAATGCCGTCGTGTTTCAGAACCCAGCAACAGAAGACATGGACGTTTTCTGATTCTAGGTCAGTGCTTTCACCTAACCACGTCATATCTCTAGAAGGAAAACATAACTTACAGATAAATGGGATAAGAAGAACATTCTAGCTTTGGTAAACACGTGCAGAATGACAGAAGATAAAATTGGTTTAATGCAGCGCAGAACATTCATCAATTCACTCGTCTCCACACCCTTTTCACATGAGAATCGTGTTTCCACGGGCAGATAGCTTAAGCGAAAAACTCTGATACCGAAGAGCGCGCATACACATCGGTTCCATCTGTTTTCAATGATATCCTATCCTGCAGAGCCAAACAGTGCCGACCCTGGAAACGCGATGACCACAACTCACAGGTGCAAAAGGATTGAAAGCAATAACCTGGAAAACGGAACAGTTTATTTCTATTTATATTTAGCCACCTTTTGTAAATACTGCTTTTTCCATTGCTGAAACTTACCATCACTGAAACAGATATATGCATGTCATCTTCTGCGGGTGCATTTAAGGAACGATAAGGTAATAAGACATTATTTAGTTTTAACTTATAAGCCAAAATCCAGATTGGTCTGCCTAAATTTATTAGCATAAATGCCTTTGCAACGACTTGACAAAGAGCACGATTATCTCCTGAGAGTGTAACAGACATTATTTAAGGGCAGTATTAATAAAATGTCGTTTAATGGAAATAAATGAGGAAAGACATATTTTATTCAGCGAGGCACCGTTTCTGACTCTTTGATCCCCTGATTTTGAATAATGATTTTGATACCCATGGTTCCGTAGCGTCGAATATCGTTGACAAACGAAAAATAGAATACAGTGCTGCATTGATTCATTTCGTTTATATTACTTTATCAGTAATGTAATATCCTTACTTATAGAATTTCATAGATGAAACAAAAATCTGATTAAATGCGACATGGAGTGGAAATAAATCGTAGCACATTGGTAAAGAGTTCTGTTAACTCGAGCCTACTGGCACAGAGTCATCATGGTATAGTCAAGTATCCTGATCTGTGCAAAATAAAATCATGTCTAGGTAGTAAACGAATGAGGTATCGATTCGTTGCCTGCTTGAATATCAGCTAATTATCTTCAGTTACAGATACATCGTGCAGTGTAGCAACTACTGAAACGAACGATGCAGAATCCTTTATTTATCGACGAGTTTCGACGCTGCACGCCAATATCATCATCAGGATAATGAGACAGAACGATATCATGCAAACAGTGATGTAAAACTTTCGATGACAGTAACGTCTGCTCTTTGAATTCTATCAAACAAATTGGCAACGACATTCCACCTCTTACTCCAACGAAACGAGCTCATGCATTCGTTACACGAGTCAACTGTGTAACGATTTTTTAATAAAATTCAACTGCTTAACGCATTAGAATGTTGTGTTCTGCTACCTTACGATTAGTTACGTATATTACTCGTATGAAACCTCGAAACATTGTGAAAAGAACACGAAGTTACGTCTCCAACGCAAAGACAGACTCAAATGTTAAAACAAAGCACACAAAAAAGTACGAACATAGGTCGAAAATGCATAAGCAAAATTAGCGCTGCGTCTCAAATGTAACGTCGTTTCGCCAGGTGGTGCAGAATCCTCGAAAATGTACGCCGTTCGCGTATAGACGCTAGAGTGCTGTGGCCGAATATTTCGCTACATAAAACCTGAATGGGTTACGCAAATTGTGTTCGTGGCTTTTCTAGGTTAAGGAAGTTCAATTAATAAAAATTACTAATTATCGCATGTTTCAATATGATGACAAATCACTAGCGAAAGCTGCTTACCTTTCGAATGCGAAGCACCTGCTAACAGATTGCCGAGGATACTGTTAACGTCCG